TTGAGACTATCCGATTTTTAAACTATCATATCAAAATGTCCAAGAACTTAAAATCTAAACATCATTTCTCAAAATTACTAGTCCAGTGGAACTGAAACTTTCAGCTAAAAAAATCCTTGTGAGATGCTCTTTTGCCCAAAAGTGTAAGTGTACAAGGTGCTCACTCTAGAGCACAATATCCATTAAACCAATATCACCTCGGATTACTTATAACCATATGATGTGAAATTTGATTGTTGGGATGTATTATAAAATTTTAAAAAATTTCTTCTGAATTTTGAATTTGATCAATGGAATAAATACAACTTCTCAATTTTACATTTAATGACCAAGATTAATTATGACTACCTTGTACTACAAATACTAAAGTTAAGTGCTCGGAAGATGTAATATATAGTCTAGGAGTTTCAAAACTCAATGACTCAAACAAAACGAACTGGTAGCGAAAGTGTTTACTTGATATGAAAGCAAGCATTGCAATAAAGTTGGACCTTTCAATGCACTAATTTCTCTCTCTCTCTCTAACTTATTTCTTGACTGTCCTTTCCCCTCCTTCTCTAACTAATTATTTTAATGTCCTTTTACTCTCTCTTTCTCACTCCCCTTCTCTCTCTCCTATGGCCCATAGACTTTTGAGTGTTTTTCTTGTTTTTACACGGGTCAAGTCCTCTATTTTTATTTTATTTTTGAAATTTAAAAATAGTTATAGCTTTAAATTTTATGTTTAAATAAGTGTATAATATATTTTTGTTTTATTTTTTGAAGGCATATAGCATGTTTCTGCAGGAACATACTGTATAACAACTCCCTATCACAGAGTAATAGCTTGGGAGGTTTTTTTTTTTATCCCATATTTTAGGATCTAAGTATTATCAAATGATTATTTTATAGAAAAGAATTGGATTCTAAGTTCTTGAACACCAAGATCTGGCCTTAAAAAATTGGATGATTTTTGTTCAATCTTTGGACGTTAATTTTTTTGAGCCCCATAGATATTCTTTTTTCTTTTTTTGCCTATGAGGTTGGTTATTAGGTTCTAGACGTAACGTCCCCAAAACTTTGGGTCCAAAGAAAAATCCCTAGCTTGAGTTTTACCTTGAGGGAGTAAACCGCATAGTATGATCCAGTAGGAGCAACAAATCTTTTCAGTTTTTTATACAAAGCTTCACCATCACCTATGCTTATAAAATAAAATAAATTGAGGTCAACAAAATTACTAAAATACCCCTAAATTTTGTAAAAGCTATTTTGGTATTGTTTGTTATCAAATTATTTTTTCATTTTGTTTATCGGTATGTGATGTTGTGGAGTGCGGTACCAAAGATACAATATATATAAAAAGTAAAACTAAAATACACTATACATTCTCAATAAGTTCAACTTAAGTGCGAAATATGAAACAAAACAATTTAAAAAAAAAAAAATTCTAAAAAAGAATTAGTTTGTTTTATTAAATTTATACTAAAAGATTATCAGACAAAAAAGTATAAAAAAATATACGAAAACAATTCTTATTTTGAGAGGAATCTTTCTTTTGAATTACCGATGTCGCAGTGAATTTCCCTCTCTCTCTCTCTACTAAGAATCATTGTACTTTTTTAGAAAGAACTTAGACTCCTTCTATTGTGATCTCTCTCTCTACCGAGAATCATTCTACTGTGTGATTTCTCTCTCTTTCGTA